AGACGCGCGTCCGCCCAATTACCGTTGCCCAATACAGTTTCACGAAGTTCATTAGATTTGTGTTTTATATGTTGCGATTAGATTGCCAATAGCCATGCAAGGTTATTGCTACGTTTACAGGACAATATATGTGAAAAATAAATCGGGGTATGAACCCAATTACGAGTTAATACATGGGATTCTGTAGGGGTATAAACACGACCCGTTAAATTAACTAAGTAAAATCTTTGCCATTTTTTTCAAAATCCGATGTAATGAAACAATGTGCTTGGGACAACATTTTGAAAAAAAAAAATGGAGCTATTTGTAAAGAGACGGTTTTCAGTGATTTGTCCTATACTAACGATGGGAAATAGAACTTTACGCGTTCACTTTGAACGTTCGGAAAAATGGATCAATTGAACAAGTTCGACCATGTAAAGAACATTCAACGAACCCAGTGTGTTTTGTGGATACCATTTCAGAGCTACTACACAGTAAATAAGGCTGATTTTTCCATTAGGGTTAGTTATCAAATCATTGACATGATTTTAGGTCGTCTTTTTCTTATGAGTAATAATATGCAAGTCAGGCAAATAAATAAAACTGCACAATATCGCACTGCAAACACTATAGAACATATTACGGTACGCGTTACAGACGCACTCGAAATTCCAAAGCAACTCAAGTTCCTCTGATGCTGACGTAGATACGTTCAAATCGATTAACGACATATTCCCGAAGAGTGTGGATGTCTTGAATTGCTCTCGATATGGCATTGGTTGGGTTACGTGTTGCAAGAGATGACGCACATATTTCAATTCGCCGGTATGAGAGTGTTCACAACATTTCTCCATGTTCATATGGGACTTCTTCCTTCACAGACACAGAAGGAGAGATAGAGTATGTTTGCAAATTCGCTAACACTTATATGAAACCCGTTCGTAGTAAGTCGCAACCAGCCATTCCCACCAAATACGACCCGCAAATATTTGTCAAAGAAATCGGACTCGGAGGGAGGTGTTCGTCGGTTGTGAATTTGCAAACAGTGACCAATTCTATCATCGGCATATCTACACGTCTAGGGAGTGCACCAAGCAACACGAAAGTTCCGTCCGATCTTGTGAGACCAAATCGTATATCTAAAACAGGCTTGACTTACACATCAAACAAAGGGCCGGCTTTACAATACTCACTTGTTAACACTACGAACACTACGCCTAAATGCTATGATAAAATATACTCCATAATGACAAGAGACTATTGGATGAACCAACCTGATCTCTCATACGATCTTTTACTTAACGTGCCTAACAATATAGATAATAATATCACCAAGAACGGACCAACAAAACAAAAAACCCCGTTGAAACGCAAACGCATCGATTTGGGACAGATGATCGGACACCATATAATGGAACAGCAGAGTGGTAATATAACAATTAACACCGATGAACAAAATACTCCAATAATGGGAAATAGTATTGGAGGATCTGCCGAGGTGACTTGGTCTACGAGAAGCACGCCAATTGTGTCTTCTTGGGAAAACAGTACTGTGAACCACGTGCAAGATTTCAAGTCGAGATCGAAATCAGCACAAGTTGCAGGCGAAAAAAGAAAAGCAACTCGGGAGCTATTTCCCGATATCGATAAAAAACGACGAACAATACCTGACGGCGATATTTTGAATTCCACATGTAAGTACTGTTATTAAAGTAATATACATTATTGTATGTAGAAATACAATCGCTTCAGACTCATCATAAAACCTTTCACGTACGTTATGCTATATTTTAAAATTGCGACACAACAAATACATAAAGCAATACGTGATTTTGCTTTCATCACCCCAAATTTGAGATTATCACCAAACTTTGACTTTTTAAATTGAAAGCCATTGAAATAAATGAATAAATGAGAATTGAACATTTGTTTGCGTGCTACAGTGACATTGGGAACTTGTCCTAATATTTGTTTTGAACAATTCCATAGAACACAACAAAATTGCATTTTTCGACCCATTTTTAAAACCCAGATATGACATATGATAGGTACATATGGTAAAAGCGTTATAATACTGCACAAATGGCAATTATCTACTAAAATACAACCATCATTTTCATACATCAGTTGTGGAGGAACATTGATAACGCTAGGATAGTGTTTTCATACATCAATTTTGGAGCATGTGAAACTGATTACTTTCTGTACTTTACAGATTTAAGTCATTGCAACGTATGGAATGAATTAAACAAAGATGCCGAAGAATTGAGCGAGTTTCTGAAGAACGGGTTCAATGATGATGTTAACTGCGACTGCAATGAATGCTGGCAAATATGGAAAACGCTACACTGTGTTTGTGAAACCCTGTCTGACTGTGGTTTTGTACCGTACTAGCATGGAACGACGACTTCAGATTGGTTGACCAGCAGTATTAATCAAGACATTCAATTTACACAAATAATAGTATTAAAATATGGGACATGTATTTATTATTGAATAACTATTAATTATTAACAAATAATAGTATAATAACATTAATAATAATAAAAAGCATAAAGTACTGAGGGGATCTCTGAGCACGAATCAATCCATTTGAGTCCCGATGTCTTCTTTAGAAGTTAAAGGGTGGTGGCATGTGCAACATTTGTGTTTGCGCTCTTCAAAATACCTAATTAAAGCTTGGTAGCGTCTCATTTTGTACTCGTTGATTAGACTGGCACAGTCATGCGATTAATTTGTTTTTGTAGTTCAAATAAAATACAAAAAATCGCGAAA